GCAGCAATGTGCTCATTCATGATCACACACACACACATGCACCCATTCAAACACACAGGTACACAGCAGCACCATGGGACCTGCACTGTGCAGTAAATATCTTGAAAAAAAAAAAAAAACACATCCGTAGAAGAGGATGAAAGAGATGGAAGACCATTACACAGTATTTCCCAGAGCAGACACTCAGGTGGGAGGAGAACACGAGAGAGGAAGAGGGAGATGAAGGAGGAGGAGGGGGAAAAAAATTGATGGTTGGAGAGGGAGATGGATGTGCAGAAAGAAAGTGAGAAGCAGTGAAAGAGAGTGAAAGAAACAGACGGGAGAAGAACACCAAATGTTATAAGTAGCAGTTGATGTGGAAGAATTCCAGTTTGGATTCGAGCTCCTTGCCTAATGAGGATCATTAACATGGCCTGCCCAGCTCCTCTAAACGCTGGGGAGGACTGGAAGATGGGGGATAAAAATAAAGCCTCTCAAGCATATCCCCACAAGATTCATGAGGCGGGCACTTGTAAAAAGGATATAGCGCATGCCGGCTACGGGAAGGTACTTCTTAATTCTACTCCACATGCTCTGGCTCTTGGAAACAGGGACACTTACCACTCGGTTGAACTCTGAACTGTGTTTGAAACGCAGTGGCAAAAGAACCAATTTAGATGTCTGTGATTTCTTGGGTTAAACAAAAGAACAAGGGGAATATGTCTCCAACAGCAATCCCTGTAATGATGTGAATCAGGTTTAGATCAGTTCAACTTATGTCATCCCATGAAGAAATCTGTCTCAGAGGTGCAGGATGGAAGAGAGAAGAAAGAGCTGAAGCTCCACTCAAACAGTTGTACCGCCCTCATATCTTAAACACTTTATTTCAAGTGAGCAGTTCACATTCCTGCCCACTTGTTATGATCCAATCAGTTTTGTCATTTTCCCTCTTTTCCCTCACTGTTTAACACCCTCATACCATGGTCCAGAGAGACTTAAAGACCAATCCAAGCTCCTGTCCCACTTCTGCAAACCGTTTGTGATATATACGTGTATATATATTTGTACATATACTTTTATAATCGCCTTCGACCACTTTTGCAGCGCGATCAATTGAGTGATTTAAATCAGACAGCATCAAAACAGTTTGCAAAAACAAATGTCCTTCGTCAGTGGTCAGGGATAATGCAGACAGCTGCATTCTTGGACATCCTGTTATCGATTCCTGTTTTTCCCCATTCTCAGCACTGTCACTCTGCACCCGCGGGGGGGAAACGTATGGAAAACATTTACAACATCTCACAGTACCAGCTTCTCCCAACCAGCAAATACTAAATAACCTGCTATAATTTCTTTAATAGAAAAGAGACCCACAGCACTGTGTGAGACCCACAGCAGCCAAACAGACAGCGTCATGATTAGATCAGCATAATTGGCACATTCATCCTTCGTCTGTAGATAAAGTGCTTTGCAGTAGAGAAATTAAGATGAGCTGCATTTATTAAGTTAAATATCTTTTGTACAATGTATAAAAACACAGAAGGATGGATCTGACTCCCAATCAACTATCTTAAATGCCTAAATAATAAATTAGGGTTATTTTTGAATTAATATAAGAATTGTTTATCGAATACTATTTCCAGAATCCCCAAAAGGTTTTAGTTTGTGGTTCATTGTTGAGAAGAGCCAAACTGATGTGGATTTCTGGGGGTCGGTACCGATATTAGTGAATGATAAAATATCTGTTACTGAGAGAAAAAGGCAATAAGATGTCATTATCAAACCCTTATGACAAAGAAGTGTTGAGGCTTGATATTTTACAGTTTAACCCTAAACCTGAACTTAAATAAAAACAGAACAAATACAACCAAATATAAAGAACTTTTGTAAAAGGTGAAAATAGATGCACAACTTGTCTGCATCGTTTATTCTGTAAAATAAAAGTATCCATGTTGGTGCGTAAATGAAAACATAGGCACCGATATCAAAGTGTCTGTGAAAGAGTCATATCGGCTCATCGATATTCCTCCGTGCTCTACTGTCCAGGATGTATCTTTTCAAGAGAAGTTAACATTTCAGGAAAAATTTTAAATATTTGTGATGACATGAAAAACACCTTACACAACACCTTATCATAGTGCATGTCTGGACAATTGAGCATCTGAGTTACCATAAGAGTGGAGAGGAGGGGAGGAAAGGAAGGACCAAAGGCAAAGAAGAAAAAGACTTATAGACAGAAAACAAGAAAGAAGTGAAGACGAGTTCCCACATTTGTTCAGACTAATGCTGATGTCTGGCTCTGCCTTGAAAACATAAATCAGAGGAGTCTGAGAGTCAGGATTCATCACACAGGAGGTGAGAGCTCAGAGGCCACTGAGTTGCTTCCTGAAAAGATGAACCGTGGGTCGAAGGACAGGAAAACACTGTTTGAGGTTTCTGTGTTGTGTAAAAAAAGTCAAACTGTACTGGTTTCACATTAATAAAAAAGCAGAATTGTCATGCTCCTGTATCTGAACCATGCAGCCTTTCTTCTGATTATCAAACAAAATATGAAACGGAGTCAGTTTGAGACAGAAATCACATCAGCAAACAGCAACATTTCATTCCTCTTCTTCATTCACTTTCTTCTGTGTGTAAATCTGTGCATCTGATGGATGATGCGGTCGCTAATGAGAACTGGATATGTCCACATTTAACTGTCTTCCTAACCATTAGTAATGACGGTAGCTTAGCTAACACAATTAACACAGGCGAGCAGGAAAATAAAATTCCTCCAGAATGAAGTATTATGTAAATAATTAATTACCACGCAGACGATTGCAATCTTGTTCAGCTGCCCACTGGCACTAAAATTAATGTGAATGATTTGGAGACGGAAAGAGAGAGAGGGAGAGGGAAAAGTAGTTGAGATAATTCTGACACAGTGGGAGAACGTGAGAAAAAAAATGAACAAATACCACCTGCTCCTTGAGCGGTTCATGGAAACAATTTGCATTTGCAATTTAACTAGTGAACACAGGCTATTATCCAGACTGACTCACAATAAGTATGTACAATGAGAGTATGCATTTGAATATTTTTACATATTTTCCCCTTTTTAAGACGTTAAATTATTGAGTCTCCATAAATCTGCTGTATTCAGTTAAATGTGTATCCTGGAGAAATCTTTCAAATCCACACACAGTTACCCAGAAAGGACAGTGAGTCTGTCTTCTGCACTACAGATGGTTGAATTATGATATTAGCACCACTGCACAGTAATCTGTGTTTATCTTCAATTTCATTCACACACACACACCATTCTATGTTCAATGAGGGATGCGTGTTTTATGAGCAGCAGTTTCCACAAACACAGATATATATAAATATATGGACGTCTTCTACTAGAGTGTGTGTGTTTCTGCATAAGAAAGAGAGAGAGCGAGGAACGAACAAGAAGAGAGAGAGTGAAAGAGGTAAAGACAATGACAGAGAGACACAGCGAAGAGTAAAAAAGAAGGTATGGAAAGAGAAAGTAATCGCTCAGATTCGGTGTCTCAGCTTAATGACACTGGAACCACATGGGAGACGGAGGAGCTGGGAGGCTCTGTGCGAGATATGATGAATCCAAAGACTGATAACCTCAAGCCTCCGCACTCACAGCCTGCACACGGATGAAAGAAGAAAAAACTAGCCCTGAAATTAACTGCTTAGCTCCTCTGTTAACTCGGAAACTGCATTCGCTTTTTTCTCTGCTTGTGTTTTCACTGCCTCTGCCGTTTTCTGCCCGTCAATCATCTTCACTCTCATCTCAGGTCCAAGACTTTATGCTTCGCCACTGCTTCCCTCAATACCCTGAACCCGTTCCCCCAGCTGTAACCACGGACAATAAAACAATACGTGGGGCTGACTTTGACAAATTAAACCAACTCGATATATGGCAATAACCTTCACTGGATGACATGGAGAAGGGGGGAGGAAGCAGTGGGGGGGTTTTGGGGAAAGAGAAAGGAGCAGAGACTGAAAGGGAAACGTGTACAGATGGATGATGGGACATATCGACCACAGCGTGGTATTTCCAAAGCGGGGTACTGTGAGAAAACGCACAGAGAGATGGTGCACATATACACAGACTTTCTAAATGTCACCATGCTTCACAATAGAAAACACACTGAAGTGTCTGTGGAGGGAAAGCAGCTAATTGGGCTTAGGAAGCAGTGGCCCCTTCAACGACTGCACCGTAGATGACGACAGGAACTGAAAAAACTAAACCTGCCATGTTTTCCACTCATATATCGACCCATTAGACTGGGACAACTTTGGAAACTGCAGTGATACTGAGCTGAGCACATTACTGAGCATCATGCCACAGTTTGAGATTCAAGAGTACAAAATGACACTTTACAACCAGAGTCTGTTTCAGTTGGATGAGATGATTTCATCTCGACCGTCGGCCATCAACCACTTCAAGTGATTTACTCAAAGCGAGCTTTTACTATGCCCCAGGCCATTTAATTCACCAGCTACTACAAACACCTTCTGCAACACACACGCACACACACACACACACACACA